CCCAGGGCTCCTTGGCCAATTGCCTAGACTAGAGGATGGATCTCCTAGCTTTATAACTCAGAGGAACTGGGATGAGCTTGGCCCATGTTTTTGAAAGGCATTTGTATTTGTCTTTTCTGATTTACCCTCTCTCCCTACCTTTCTTTTCCTCCTTCCACTTAGTGCACCTCGCCATACTCTCATCCACCCCAGCCAGTCCAAATCCCCCGCTTTGTTGGCCCAGGGCAATTTTAAGCTACCTGAATAGGTAGCAGAGCAAGTGGGAAGACAGCAGGAAGGCCATGATTACAATAGAAGAGGCAGCAGGGTAGTACTTAGGTCAATGGGAGTGCTAGTATGGGAGAGGAGAGGTGGTATGAATAATGAGGTATCCTGCAGCTCCAGTCTAAGGAGCATGAGCAGAGCTGATTGGGGGTGAGGACTAGTATAGCAGGCAGTGATGCACCTCAAGACTGAGAACCCTTGTGGATGCTAGAGCAGTGGCAGCCCACAATCTTGAGCACTGAGTTCCCTTTGCTTTCTTTAGTTTGGGATGTGCTGCAAATCCCCTTAGCAAAGCAGAGAGCAGGACACAGCTGCAAGGTTCCAACATGAGCACCTGGGTGGAAACCAGTTATTAATGCAGCGATGTTATGAGCTTTGGGTTTGCAGATTTTTATTTCCAGCTGAAAAGCAAACCAAGAGGCAGCAAAAAGCATGTGCTGGTGGCTGATGCAAAATGCTGCAGAGCTCAGGGTGGTTACTCCCTGCTTTGGTAATTCATAAACCCAGCATGCATCCTCTCAGGGACAGGTACTGGAGAACAAAAACCAATTAGAACTATGGGCTTGTCTACATAGGGAAATTGACCAGCATGGCTATAGGTGAATAATTATTCTCTGTGGCTGTGCCAATCAATTTCCTAGTGAGGACAAGCCCATATTGTCTGAGGAACTTGCAAACTTTAATGTATTTACCCTCCCAACACCCCAGTGAGATAGAGAAGGGCCAGTACAGCTTACAGATTGGAAGTGGAGGCACTGAGACAGCATCAACACTGCAAACCTCCTGCAGCAGCAAGTCTCAGAATTAAGCTCAGCCAATTTAGGTTCACAGGACTAAAATCAGCAGTGCAGATGCTCTTGCTCAGGCTGTGATCACCTCCCCTGCCAGCCGGAATTCAGAGCCTGGGCTCCAACCTGAACCAGAAAATTTACCCTACCTTTTTTGGACTCATCATGAGAGCCTCATGAGCCTGAATCAGCTGACTGGGCTCTGAGTCTCAGTGCAGCAGGGGAGATTGCAGTATAGATGTACCCCGAAGGTCTAGTTTAAAAAGTGCTAGTGCAGTGCCTTAGTTTTTGATGGCTCAACCAGAAGTTCCTGGAAGAGTCCTGATTTTCAGCAGGCGCTGAGCATACCTCGTCCCTTTCAAAATTAAGACCTTGAAAAGCATCCTTTGGGCTCCTACAAACAGGGGCCCACTCACCCAATCACTTTTGGAGAGAGGCCTATGTGATTTACTCAGCATCTCTGAGGCAATGCAGGGAACAGACCCCAAGTCTTCGAAGTCCCAGACTAGTGTCCAAACATCTTTTCCAATGTCTGCCCCTCTCCCTCTCTGTGATGCTTCTGTCTCCATGGGGCGCTGGTCTCCCCAGAGAGGAGCCCTGGATTCCTAATGTGCCAAAGGTGCCTCCATTTGTACAGCAAAAAAGTGTCTCTCAGTCAAGCCTGACACCAAGGACACAGAACAGGGGGGGGAAGGGAAGTATACAAACTAGTCTGAAAGATTCAATGAGCAAGAGTAAAACTGAGACAAAGCATGAAAAGCTTGAGTGAGCTCTGTCCTTTGCATAGCTGAGGGGCAGATTCTGCTCTCAGTTACGCCACTTCCCTGCCTTCTCTCTGAATGTACACTCGCCTAGCTGACAGCACACTTGGCCCCACTGATTTTCTGAGCTCTCCAGGTGGCTGGGCAGCACGGATCAATGAAGAATGAAAGTGGCAGTTCTTCTTTGCCTCCTGCACACAAAGGAGAACCTTGAGGCTCCACAGTGGTGTGCTTCAAAGCCTATTTAACTGAGTCCTTTCCTTGCCCCCCCCCCCCACCACCACCTTTGTCCCCTTTCCCACGTGTCTGGAACCACAGAGTAGGAAGGGATCACGGTCATTTAGTTCAACCCACACAAACCCTGACATGAGCTGCATGTGACTAATCCTAATCCTCCTGCTCAGTTCAGCTCTAAAAATGCATCACCAACTGCCTTCCCTGAACTGATCCTCAAAGCTATTCCCCTCCCCCCGTCTAATCCCTTCTCTGCTGCAATGTCATCAGAGCTCAAAGGCCAGTAGGGCAGAGCCGTCACTGTATATTTACAATAATACTAATATTGCCAATATGTTCAAATGGTATCAGTGTTCAATTGCCTCTCTCTTCCCACAGGTCACTGGTCTGCTTAGATGGTAAACTCTTTGGGGCAGAGGCCTCATAATCATGTGTTTCTGCACAGTGCCCAGCACAATTGCACCCCACTCCTGTGTAGCACCCCAGGTGTTACTGTAAGATTAAATAATAAACTCTACTTGATTACAGCTGATAACTAACAGATCAAGTTCGCTGTTCTTCTCTATAGCTGTGTCTACACTGGCGTGTTCTTGCACGAAAACGGCCGCTCTTGCGCAAAAACGTGCCGCCTGTCTACACTGGCCGTGCGTTCTTGCGCAAGTAAACTGACGTTGTACTGTAGAAAATCAGGGCTCCTTGCGGGAAAACTCTGATGCTCCCTCTCAGGAAGAAGCCCTTTTGCGCAAGAGCTCTTCCAGAAGAGGCCAGTGTAGACAGGCAACATGAATTTCTTGCACAAGAAGCCCTTATGGTTAAAATGGCCATCAGAGCTTTCTTGCACAAGAGAGCGTCTACACTGTCATGGATGCTCTTGCGCAAAAGCACATCTCTTGCACAAAAGCACATGCCAGTGTAGACGCTCTCTTGTGGAAGAGCTTTTGCTCAAGAACTCTTCTGCAAAAGAGTTCTTGCGCAAGAAGCTGCCAGTGTAGATATAGCCATGTTTCCCACCCGTAAGTTACACAGCCTCTTACACAGAGACAGACATGGGCTCTATGAGCCCTGCAGATCATAGCATCATGAAGAGCATTCCTTGCTTAGATAAAAACATCTTTATCCATACTATAGGGCAAATGTGCTGAATTTTTTTCTTCAACAGGCTAACAAGCACAGCAGACACAGGAAATGCAGGGGTCAGGGCGCAGTCTGACCTCAGGAAAGCATCTGATGCTTTTATCTTATGTTCTCTGAGAAGCTAGGGCGGGGATTCCCTGGAATGAGTAATGCATAACTAGTTAAAACTGACCTCACAGAATGATTTCCTATTGTTCCACGGAACGAGGTATTGAGTGGGATCCATCCAGAAGGGAGCTACTCTCTTGCTAGCCCTGATCAATATTTTATTTAACTTGGGGGATGGTGTGTAGGTACTACCTGGGCAATGATACCAAGTTGGGAGAGAATGACAAACACTTTTGATAGCAGGGCCGACAGCCTAGACAGACCCCTGGGCAAGGCCAGGGGAGGACTGCTCCATGCCCTGGAAGGGGTGGGGCCTCAGGAAGAAAGGGCAGGACTGGGGCTAGCCTCCCTTAGGCAATCCTGAGTGCTGCCTGGAGCATGCCATGTGGCAGCAGCTTTAAACTCCACGCTCTTTTGAATCACCAGGCCCTTAGGCAGTTGCTTTCTTTGTCCCCTCTATTCGTGGGCCTGACTTTGGAGGAGCAGATGTTAAATCATGGGTTGATCCAGATGAACTGTGGAAGGGCCTGGAAATGTGCATTGCCCATACTGCCTGTGGCTGTACCCTGGGGAAGCTGGGATACAGGCAGCACCTCTGCAGTAAAGAGGTTGTGAATGGATGTAGGCAGTAAGTAAGTTTGCTGCCTTGGGTAGCCTGCCTGCCTGCTCTTAACAGAAGCCTGCACTTCAGAACTAATGGCTAGTACCAGTTCTCTCTGTGGCCACTTGGCCACTACTTCTGTTTGAAGGCAAGCTAGCAAAACTCTTGTCAGCTCTGACTCAACACAGGATAAGTGAAATGCTGACTCCAGTTTCTAGCTATGAAGACAGCAAAGCCTTTAGCACTGTGATCTGGGCTTGGACAGTTTGGTGGCTGTCTGACACAGGTGCAAGGTGGTTTGGTTCTCAGCAGCCCAGTCACTTTCTTTGTACCCAGGAGAGCAAGAGCAGCAGAACCATCTGGCAGTGGCTCCATTAACAGCTGCTTGTACTTGGTTGAGAGCAGTTCAGGGAAGGAGCCAGCTGGGGCCACAAACTCTCCCATGGGGCCTTTTGAGTTTCTTGAGCTTAATCACAACAGCAGGGAGGCAGTTATCTGTGGTGTTGAAGGGACTAAAACCAAAGGTCAGGCTTCTGCCACTACTGTACCTGCTCAGCTCTGGAGAGTGCAGATACTAGTCAGTAGAGAATGATGTTCAAGGGATGGGAAGCAGGCAGAACTGTTCTAGTTCCTTCTCACTTCTGAATAACAATGACCACCACAGGGCAGCGAGCTAGAGGTGGAACCCCCTGAGGTGGCCTCACCAGAGGCCACAAGGGGCAATCCAGGAGGCGGCAAGACTGCAGCACCTCCACAGCCATCTCCTCTGCTATGTGCAATGCTAAAATGTCCAGGAAGATTTGTTGTTTCTTAATTGGACATGAAACTTTACTGGGACAAGAGAACACTAAAGTCTTCTGCCTAGTGTTGGATCCTGATCCAACCGTCTCCAGCCTGCTGCAGATTTAAAGGAACAGATCACACTTCCTTGAATCTCTCTCCTCCCCCAAAACTAACGGTTTCTGTACAATCAACATTTAATAAGAATTACTATTTAGCAACAAATCACAGTTCCAAAGAAGTTACTGGCTTTTACCATTTTGTGGCTGCCAACATTTTTCAACTTCATGTGTGACACTATACAGAAATTATTTCAGAAGCAGGTTTGCATATTTACAAATAATGTGCTACATCAGTTTAACGAAAACTGTGTGACTGGTTATTGGTGATGGGTTTTGGATGAAAACCTGCAGGGGATGAAGTCTTCTCTATCATGTTAGGGTTGCCAACACTGTATTTCAAAAAGAAGAGACTGTTTTCTTAGCAACCCCGCCCCATTCCTCCTCCTGATACCATTAACATAATCATTATTAATAACAATAAGAAGCAGTACTCACCTACATTCGGTATTTCTTACTGCTTTTTGCAGTACTCAGCAACTCCTGATCTTGCTGTACAGAGATGAAAAAAGAAGGGACGTCCCTTGTAATAAGACACTATTGGCAACTCTATCACGCTCTCTGCTGCCAGCCTCAATCCTGAGCTCAGACTCCACAGCCACATGAGTTTTGAGCTCTGTTGTGTTTGCCGATTAGTACAAAGGTTGATAGTGAGTTTGGGACATGGGGCTAAACTGAGTCCCAATGTCTCCATAATCTCATGCCCTAGTCTCTTTGTCCAGCCATTCGCTGTTTCTTGTCCCCTGTCTCTTTGCCCAGCCAGTCACTGTCCCTCCTCCCTTCCCAGATCAATCTTCCTCATTTGACCTCAGTTTTCCTTCCCCTCTACTGGCTGCCCCCTTCTCTCCTAGCTCCCAGTACCTCTCCACACTTTAACTTCCAGTCCCAATTTCTCCCTTACTCCCTGCCAGCCTCCTGTCCCAGTTTCCTTGTTCCAATCTACTTTTGCCATGCCCAGCTGAAGGTCTGGCTATTGTCCTTCTGCATTAATCAAGCAGCTGCCTCCACCTTGCTGTCTGGGCCCAGCTGGTGGTCATTGAGACCACAAGGGAGACAGGCTTCCTCTTAGTTCACATGCCTAGACCTGGCACCACATGCTGCAGCCCAGAGCTGCAAAAGTTCTGCACAGCCTAGTCTAGAGCTTGCCCAGAGCATGTGTGATTGTTAAGAAATGTAGGGGATAAAACCTAAGACCTAGGAAATCTTTACTGAGCATGTACAAACTGCATTTTCCCCTAAGGCTTATAAATGGGCCAGATTTGAGCTGATATTCACCAGAATGACAAATGGAACCTACCTGACACAAAGGCCAATACCCTGTCAAATTTCAAGTTGCTGGTCCAAAGCCCAGGGGTGACAAAGCCCCACCTGTAACACACAGCCTGTATTAAACAAGTGGGCTACGTCTAGACTGGCATGATTTTCCGCAAATGCTTTTAACGGAAAAGTTTTTCCGTTAAAAGCATTTGAGGAAAAGAGCGTCTAGATTGGCACGGACACTTTTCCACAAAAGCACTTTTTGCGGAAAAGCGTTTGTGCCAATCTAGACATGGTTTTGCGCAAAATCAAGCGACCAGTGTACACAGCTGGCAAGTTTTTGCGCAAAAGCTTGCCAGTCTAGACGCAGCTGGTTGTCTAATAGTTTTCCTCATTCATTCTGCTGTGGCAGGAGCTGCACCAGTGCCTGCCATGGGACTGTTGTGATTGGAGCACATGACACCTGTGCTGCGAGGTACAAGAAATCCATCAGTCAATAGATGGTCAGTGCCTACTGAGGCATGGTTGGGATTAGATGTAACATTACGGAAGTATGGCATGAGGACAGCTAAAGGAAAATAGTAGGAAAAGGGTTACAAACAGTCTGAACACTCCAGTGCTTAGTAATTCGTGACCCAACACTCACCAATTAAAATGGACTAAGGAATAGCTCTGTCATCAGTGCTGACAATTGCAAGAGGTTTATAAATGCCTCAGAATTTCCTGATGGCTTCTGAAGTGTCTTGGAGACTCTGAGAAGAGGGGCAGTTTAAGAGCAGCATGGTTTCCCCTTCAACCATGCTCCCTGCTCCCTTCATTCTGTCCCCCTGCTCCCTTTACTCTGACACATCTGGAGGTGCAGCAATGTCCTCAGCCAAACTTGAACTGCACGGGTGCGTCTAGACTGGCAAGACTGCAAAAACTTGCCAGCTGTCTACACTAGCCGCTTGAATTTGCGCAAGAGCAGTCACTTTGTAATGTACAAAATCAGTGCTTCTTGCGCAAATACTTTCAAGCTCCCACTCGGGAAAAAGCCCTCTTGTGCAAGAATACCTGCTCAAGAGGGCCAGTGTAGACAGGGAAGAATTGTTTTGTGCAAAAAAGGCCCGATGGCTAAAATGGCGATTGGGGCTTTCTTGTGCAAAATCGAATCTAGACTGGCCACGAATGCTTTTGCACAAAAGCACCTTTTTGCGCAAAATCATCCTTGCCAATCTAGACGCGCTTTTGCGGAAATACCTTTAACGGAAAAACTTTTTTTTCCATTAAAAGTATTTCCGCAAAATCATGCCAGTCTAGACGTAGCCCACATGTTATGCCCAGTAATCATTATAACTAAAAGGGAATTATTTCTATTTACACTGCAAACCAAAAGGTCATTAAGATCTGGAGTTTAGTGAGCAATATGTAGATTGGAGATGTAGCTTCCATGCTGCTGATGTAGTTAGAAACTGCTATGAACTCAGATGTAGGAGCAGGTGCTATAGGCAGTTCTAGGCTAACATCCCCATAAGGAAAATTCTTTCCTAAGCCCCATCACTTAATGGAGGGTTTATACCTTCAAGCAGGAAGATTTCTAAGCCATCTTTTTGTTTTCATTCTTGTGAGTACCATTCTAGCTGTTCCTATTATCCATATAAACCTCTATATTGTTTTATTTTTTACAAACCCTGCTATGTGCTTGGCCTACAAGATATCTTGTGGCAGTGCATTCCACAAACTAATTGTCCAGTAGGTGAAAAACATTTCCTTGCATCAGTTTACATGAGCTGCCTTTCAATTTAATTGAACAATCCCTTGTTCTTGTATTAGGAGAGGGAGTGAACAAAAGTACTGTACAGTAATTCCTCATTTAACATTATAGATATGTTTCAGAAAATGATCGTGTTAAATGAAAACATGTTATGCGGGGTCAATTTTCCCATTGAAAATAATGGAAAATGTGGGGGTTGCGTGTCAAACGGTGGTGGTGTCCGTTGGGACCGGGACATAAGGTTTGGGGAGAAAGGGGACTGGGTTACAGAAGGGAGGGGAGGTGTTTGGCTCTGGGGAAGGGAAGGGGAGAAGAGGCGAGGGGGATTGGGTTGGGAATATGCCCCTGTGACAGGTCTGCCAGGACCCACACTGCGTCTGGCAAGCGGGGGGGTCGCTGGGGAGCGGCGCGTTGAGCGGTGAACCCTCCGCCGCTTTGCAGGGAGACGGGGGAAGCCCCGCGCAGCCGCCGGTGCCAGGCTGGCTGGGGAAACCCAGCCATTGGCTTGCAAGCGGGGGTGGAGGAGAGGGGGCAAGGTGTCCAGTGAGGGGGAATCAGCGGGAACAGCGCGGTAAGCGGCAAACCCTCTGCTGCTTTGCAGGAAGGTGGGGGAAGCCCCGTGCAGCCGCCAGCAACAGGACAGCTGGGGAAATCGTGTTATTCTGGGGAAGGTCGTGTAATTCAAAAAACTTTCCCTAAAAAAAAAAAATCGTGCTATCGCAAAAACGTGTTAAGCGGGCACGTGTTAAATGAGGAATTACTGTACCTAATTTCTTATATCATCTAGACCGTGCACTATTTTACACATCTATTATGTCCCATTTTATCAGTCTAAGTTAAGCAGTCCCATTATTTTTAGTCTCTTTTTAGGGACGTCTTTCAGATTTGTTATCGTGGTCCTCACCCACTGAAGTTTTTCACAGCCTCCTTCACTCTCAACTAACCTAAATCATTGTGTGCCACCTGTAAATGAGATTTAAGGAATGAATCTCTAACAGGTCACTTTGCTTCCAAAGACAATCTACACAGTAGAAAGAGGATTCCTTGTTCTCAGCAAGTGTCTGCACTACAGGAGCACTCATTATAGGGTGGACCCAAAGATTCCCCTGTGGCTACTGATCAGTAGTGAGAACCTGGGGCTCAAATCCAGAATGAAAGGTACTTACCAGAAATCCACAAATTGGGTCTGGCAATAACTTTCAGTTGCTAGCTTAGAAGACAGAGTTAAGTCTCTATTGCACAATAAGTAATTGATCCGTTATTAATATATCCCTCAAAACCAAAAACAAATGTATCCTGGGTACATATTCCATTGGACTGGGGATCCCTACATTTCCCAGAAAAGCATTATTGCCAAACTTCCTGTGAACTGCACTCAGACCTTTCAAAAAAAAGCCAATTTCCAACAAATCTGGGAGCTAATCTACTTGGACATTGCTGGAATATCATCTCTGGAACAAGTACAAGCAGGGACTGCAGCGTCAGGACTTAGGACTTCCCCTGACAGTACCACAAATAAAACAGCTCAGCAAGTTCATTCTGCAGAAATCAGATATCATCAAAATAAGGTGGAGGTTACTGGCAAAGAATCCTGTCCCAGAAGCTTCATCTGATACATGAAACTCTGCAGAAAAACCTCTCTGTCACACAAGATGAAGCTTTGCTCTCAGTGATATCAATGCAGCCTCTATGGTGAGCAGACTTTCCTAGTTGTGACCTATCCTTCTCTGCCACAGTCACAGTCTCTCTTCATCTCCCAGCCAATCACAGGAATCAGGGAAGGAACAGTCTCATTGGCAGAGTTTGCAACATCTGAACATTTTTACTACTTGCAGTTTTCCAAGTAACCTGGAGGCAGACAGCTACCATGGCTGCTTTCCTTCTTATGCCTCCCACAAAGGCTACTACCTTCCCCCCTCAAGAGTAGACTGCCCCCTTGCCATAAACCTCTTTGCATTAGATTTACAGTCTAAATAGGCACAAATAGCCTGAGCAAGGCCATTCTCATTTTGCAGGTAGGGATGTGAGGCTCAGAGAAATTAAATCACTCCCCCATGATCACACAGTCAATCAGCAGCAGAACTAGGAACTGAACTCATTTCTGTTTCTGTGGCCAGTGCTTTAATTAAAAAACAAACTTTTCCTTGCTGCACACTGCCTGCCCAGGGTCTCTCTGGGTATGTCTACACTACAGAGTTTTGTTGGGAAAACGGCCGTTTTTCCAACAAAACCTGAGTTACGTCAACACTGCAATCACGTTCTTTTGAAAGTAAATCGAAAGAACAGAGGGGGGTTTTCCCGAAAGAGCTCTTTCGGGAAAAAGCGTGTGTGGACAGGGAAGAGGGAGTTCTTTTGAAAGAAGAGGAAAGAGGAAAAAGCTCAGGTGCCCTGGTGGCCACTCTGTCCATAGTAATCACAGCTTAAATGTGAGATAGTGTCCATTCAGTGTAGGCACTATCTTTCGACAAAGAAGATCGCTTTTTCAATGTGCTTTTGTGTGTGGACGCTCTCCTTTGGAAGGAGTTTTTTCGGAAGTTCTCTTCTGAAAAAAGGT